GCTAGTGGGTTCTTCGAGCGCAGCGGTGCCCGCAGCGGTGCCCGCCGCTACATCCCGCAGTCGGCTCAGCGCGGAGAGCGACATGCTAGAATTTGCAAAGCTTTGGCCTGAACGGCTTGATCCAAAATGGCTACTGCCCTTCGAAAAAGGGTGGCTGTGCAGTTCCGAAGTGCATGCTTGCAGTTCCCTCCACTTCGCTTGCTAACACATCAGCTCAAAAACAACGCAGCCAAAATTTCCAGACGGCCCAAAATACAACACCCGAAAACCGCAACCCCACCACTTATAAACCCCCATACCCTAAAACCCCAAACAACCCTATGGAACAGAATTCTTACAAGAACCCAGGAACCCTAAAGGCCTTAGCAGCTTTGGAAGGCAGGCGACCCGGAGCCTCTCGTCGCTTGCCCGTGCCGCGGCATGGCAGGTGTGCGGGATCTCGGGTTCGGGGGTTTTAGGGTTTAGGGTTTAGGGTTTAGGGTTTAGGGTTTAGGGTTTGGGAGCTAGGATTAGGGGGATCTTTTGGGGATATAGACCCTCTCAATAAGGTCCCTTTTAAGAGAGCCAACAGCAGGGTTCAGAAGGGGTACCCTTTAAGGCGTACCCCTAAGAATACTACCTGGGGTTATCAGAGGTGCTGCAATGAGGGCTACTGGAGCCTTTTCTTCTTTTGGGTTGCTGCAGGGGTTATACAACAGCATCTCACATGACGTAATTGGGGACTTATGCATGATACATAGGGTTTGTTAAAGTTTTTTTGGGGTGTTATTAAGGGGTTTAGGGTTATACGACGGCTTTAGAGAAGGGTTCGGTAGCGGCAAAAAAGTGAGCACGTATCAAGGGTGTCCTTTTCGGAAGCTTGATAAGAACACCCCGACTTGTGCCGGGTTTTGCTTTCTGATTCGGGGACACATTGGGTGAGGGCCCAGGGTTGTAGGGCTTTGGAGATAGAGGGTTCATGAGCCGTGTTGTCGTCCGGTCTAGGGTTTGAAGACGAAAGCGGCAAAAGGTTGTTATAGCTGTCACGGCCTTAGGTTACGTGGACCCATAAGAGGTCGGCATTGCAAACCTTGTGAGCAATTTTACTTCGGCTGGTCCCTTCGAGGCCTGACACAACAACAGCTACTTTCGTAGGATTCGAAAGCTGAGTGAATTGGGGATAAATTCAATGTCCCTGCAACTCCTTCAGAAGTGTCTATCGGACTGACACATACTTTTCGGAGGCCTTCAACTACGAACCAGTTTGAGTTTCGGGCTTCTTCCGCCACCACAGACGCAGTACTCGTACATCCGACGCATAGCTCATCAAAGCCTACGAACCTAAGATTCCTCAACCCTGGAGCCCCAGCCCTGAACCCATAGCCCCAAGGGTTCCTAAACCTTAAACCCTAAACCCTAAAGTCCTAAAGGAACCCTAAGCCCTAAACCCTAAACCCTAAAGGAACCCTAAAGGAAGCCTAAAGGAACCCCAAACCCTAAACCCTAAAACCCAAAAGAGCCCGAAAGCGCTGGAGCTTTGGCCTTGCATCTCGGGCAGGAGTCGCTGAAGTTCCTAAGCTCCTGGGTGCAGCGCAGGCTTCAGCTGAATGCAGGGATCTGAGACAGACAAGTGCTACACAGCGCAGGGGCCCTAAACCCTAAACCCTAAACCCTAAACACTAAACCCCAAACCCTAAACCCTAAACCCTAAACCCTGGGCTGCTAGGGTTCTTGGGACCTCGGGATTTGGAACTCCGGGTTAATCAGGTCTTGGGACCGGCAAGGTTTGCGCTCTGGGTCCATGCCACATTAAGGTCTCCATCATGTTGTAGAGTTATCTGCAACGCAAGATGTCGAACCGGCCCCCTTCTAGTCCCGAGAAATGTACCCTAAACCCTAAACCCTAAACGCTAGACCCTAAACCCTAAACCCTAAACCCTAAACCCTAATGGCAACCCCAAGGCCCTTTTTCTTCTAAGGAGCTCGCAAGTCCTTCTACACCCGCTGAACGCAACACCGAGAGTTGACAGAGTCCCGCGGTCCCCAAAAGCAATCCCAGGGGCTGAGCTGCTGTTGTAGGGGTTTAGGGCTTAGGGGTTTAAGGTTTAGGGGTTTAGGGTTTAGGGTTTAGGGGTTTAGGGTTGAGGGTTTTAGGGTTCAGGGATTTGTTGAAAGAGCAGGTGTGATATGCGGATTTCACAGGGGCATGCTGGAGTTGGACGGGGTTGAGGGGTCTCCACGATGGCTCCTGGTGTTGATCAAAACAGAGCAACCACAGAAACGAAGCCACATATGATTGGGATGGCTGCTCGTTGGCCGTCGTTGGTGAGAGGGGCGTAGGCGTAGTCGAAAGGGTCCTGTTGAAACAGCCTGAAAAGGCTAGTCTGGAGTCTTCGGGGCGAGAGTTTCGAGTTCAGGGTCCAGGGTGGGCTTTGCGGTCCTGCCGGTCCGGAGCCTAGGATTCCCATTTAGGGGTTGGGTACGCTTAGGGCCCCAGCTTGGGTCTGCACCCAGGTGATTCACTGCAGCTCCGCCCTCACCGCCTGTGAGCCTCGGCTGTAAGGGTTCCAAAAAGGGGTTTCAGAAAATAGGGGACCCTAATATAGTACCCTAAATAGTAGGATCCTTTTTATAAGGACACCAAAACAAGGTACCCCTGACTTCGGAAACTCCCATATTGGGGCATGCACTGCTCTATTTTCGTGTTTTTGGGGTTCGGGCTCAGAAGAGCATGTAAGCATCACTTCGGGTTCGGGTACTATAAAGTCTCCTTACTTCGTTTCTTGTGATAACCCTAAACCCTAAACCCTAAAACCCTAGACCCTAAAACCCTAGACCCTAAAACCCTAAACCCTAAACCCTAAATGTGTGCGCGCTTTGCGCTTTCTGGGGGGTTTCGGACTTCAGGGTTTGCGGCTGAGGGCTCGCATCCTAGACGTGGTACTTGGAGGATCGTGGGACTTAGTAAGTATGGTTACAAGTCCCTTAATTGGGGTTATAAGTATAGTTACCCTAATGATAACCCTACTTACTAAGTCCCATCATCCTTTAAGTATGCTTATTGGCATGCTGCTTCACGTGGTTGGGGCCACGGCTTGCGGTCGGGTCGCGCATTTTTTCGATTTGTCTTTGTGTTCTGCGGGAGGGCAAGACCATGGAAATCGAGGGTCTTGGGTTTAGAGCCGGAAGCCAGGGGCGACAAAAGTATGTCACTGAACGTCACACGTTCAAAAGCGGTTTCGTTCTCTGTTGCCAAAGCTGCGACTTAGTCCTAGTCTTTCACCGCTTCCTCAGGGAGACTGCGGCCCATCCCCGACTTTGACTATAGTGGTACCTTCCGTCTAGCGCCAAAGGAGCACTAAGATCTGTGATGTGATACGTACCGTTCCTGGTGTCGAGGAAGTTTAGCGCCAGTTTAGGGGTAACCCGCTAAACCCTAAACCCTAAACCCTAAATCCTGAACCCTAAACCCTAAACCCTAAACCCTAAACCCCGAAACCCTAAACCCCAAACCCTCAACCCTAAACCCTCAACCCGTAAACCCTGTAAGCCCCCAATTTCTACCCCCAGACCCCAAAGCTAAACCTCAGAAGTCTCACCCGAGGAGCGCGCGGGAGAGTGGCCCGCGGCGCTGCAGCTTCTGGAAGAAGCCCTGGGTGGAAGGTGCTCGTTTAGGGTTCAGGGTTTAGGGTTTGTAGGTGGTTTATCGAGGTTTCAGATGGGGTTCATTCGGGGTTTGTAGCCAGGCCTTGTTGACGAGCACCGTGTCTGGAATGGCCTTAAATTTGGATCCCGGTAGTATTGTTTGTTCAGGGAGATGGGTTGAGTGATCAGGGGTCCGTTTAAACGAACATGCGATTCAAATGACTCCTCTTCCGAGAAGACGATAGCCTAAACTTAGACCCTTATTGGACTTTTGAGCCCTAAACCCTAAACCCTAAACCCTAAACCCTAAACCCTAAACCCTAAACCCTAAACTTAGACCCTAATTGGACTGTTGAGCCCTAAACCCTAAACCTTAAA